AAACAAAAATAGATAGTAATTTTATTGTTATATATATAAATTAGCAGGAAAATCACGTTTTTCCGCAACAGTTTATGATTTTTTTTTTTCAGGAAAAAAAGAAAAAAAAGAAAGAGAAAAGAAAACCAAACCCTAAGAATGGTCGAGAGTTCCGCGACGATCGTCTCCAGCAGCGGCGCGAGATTGCTGGAACGGGTGGGTAAGGTTACCGACGGTGACATTGACGGCCAAAAGTCCATCGTAGTTAGTACCACCGTCGAAGTTTCGTCGGAGCATCATCTGTTGTTGTTGTTGTTGTTGTTGTTGTTGATCGCGAGGGAAAAATTGATCGTAACAGAGACTATGAGGTTGATCTCTACCAAAATTAAACGTCGGCTGGTGGTTCCGCTGTGCAGTAAGAGAAGAAGGCGAGGAAATCAGGGCGGCGGGGTTCCCAATGCCTAGGGTTTTATACTTAGAGAGTTCGGATTTAGCGGAAGTGAGATCCATTTGGAGTTTACAGAGTTGATGTTGAAGCAGAGAAATTACTCCAACACAGCCATAAACAGGATCACGGAGACGCATATCGGCTTCATAAGCGAGAGAATTAACAGCGTCTTCGCGCTGGTGAGGATGCAATTCGTTGAGAAGTTTAGTGACATTACTAGCGCCAAATACCTTATGAACATTCGCGAATTTCTGAGGCTGATCCGGCGGGAAATAGGGCGCGAAAACACATTCCGGTTGACATTTACGGCGGAGGAATTTGCAAGCAGCACAGGGCGAATTGGAGGAGGTGGATGCCATCTTCCAATTCCTCCTCCTCCTCCTCCTCCTCTGTAAGAACAATCGAAAATCAAAGACCAAAAACGGCTGAAAACGATCAAAGAAACAGGAAGTGTACCTTGTGAAGTTGGATCTGGTGAAGAAGAAGAAGAAGAAGAAGAGAGAGAGAGAGAGAGAGAGAGAGGTTAGAGATGAGAGTGAAGAATGGTGGGTTTTAAGAGAGAGAAAGAGGAGAGAGAAGGGGGAGTTTCCCTAAAAAGGAGAGAATGGGGAAGAAGGAGAATAAGAATGAGTAAAGGGAGTTGTCTCCATCATTCTTTGACTTCAACTTGGGGACAGATCTCTCAATCTTTTCTTTTCTTCCCTTTTTCTCCTTTGTCAATGTCTTGGGATTTCCAAACCTTTTTTCTTTTTTTTTTTTTTTTTTAAAAAGAAATTATTCTAATCACTTTGCATTGCATCCATGCATGCATGAAATTATTTAAATTTCTTTTCTTTTAAGTCAAATATTTTATTACTTGGGAGTTCGAGCAGGAACTCATCGATAGTTCGAACTGGTTTGTTGTGCAACTTTGAGGATGAACAATTAGTCCATCCATAGCACTATTGACAACTTTTTTGTTTGAGTTTCAGGGCAGTTTTGAAAACATATTAATATTTCGACACTTAACAGTCTCATGACTTAAATTTCGACACGATTTTATGTGTTGGGTGACGATGATATCACATGGGTTTGAATCGAAGCGTTGGAAATGTAAGCGTTTTTGGGATTGGTATTGATTGAAGTGGAAGTTAGGGTTAGAGTAAAGCAAGTTGTGACTTAATAAATTAAAAAAAAAAGGGAGGGAGGGGGTTGGAGTTAAGGGTTGGTAAAGTCATGCTTTTAAGGCAATTGTGATTATGTGTGGGGCTTAGGGTTTCCTCTACTTCTTCGCCGGGAAATCATTTCGCTTACTCTCACAACGCCCCCGCATCTAAAGATGGTGACCACCTATCACTATTTTCTTTAATTTAATTATTATTTTATTAACGTACGTGACAAGATTATGTTCTAGTAATAACTTAAAGAGTATTACCGTATATGGATAATGTTGGGTGTCTTATCCTCTTCGTCGTACTATTGATATCACTCACTTTGTAATTGTTTCATCTTTATTTTATAATTTAATTGTTTGAAAAAATTAATATTTCACACGATCATAATATGCGACTCCATCTTAATCTTAACTAAGTTCTATACTCCTTTCTATTAGGATTTGGGAACATAATATTATAAGATGAAATTCACTCCTTCCTTACGTAGGGAGGTAGATGAGTAGTTCCCTTGAATGTTGATTTTGAGACTTGAATAATGGGGTCTTATTCTCTTATAAGCTCAAGAGAAATAAAGAAAAGTTGCAACGTGTCATTGAGCTATGCTCGTGCAATAGTTATGTACAAATGAACAATCTCTTAGGGTCGATGAAAATGTTTCGTTTCTATAGATAAATTTCTATGAAGTAGTATTAGAGTATAGTTTAACCTAATTTTGGTCTAGATTCGATAATATGTTGGGTAAGAGATTCGAGCGAGTGTCGGTTGAAGTATACAAGAGATTGAAACAGAGTGTGAATTGAGCTATGATCATGTTAACGAACGGTGGCTCGAGATTTAGACGCGGGAATTGAATACGGAGAGAGGGAGAGAGAGTGAGAGGAAGAAGTAGGGTTTGGTAATGCATTAATATGGGGAGTTTTGTTTATGTCAGAAGAGGAATTGAAGTGTATGTAATGTCGTGTTGTGAAATGACCCATCCTCCTATTCTCTGCCACACTCTCTGCCCTCACCTCTCTCTCTCTCTCTCTCTCTCTCTCTCTCTCTCTCTATATATATATATATATATATATATATATATATATATATATTTTTTCAATATGGCGTGTAAATAATAACGGTGTTCGTGGGTAAATTTGGGTCGGGTTGAAATATTTTTTATACCTAATCTAATTTTTAAGTTATAAATTTTTCAACTTAAAATCTCTTATTAAATAATTGTTTTGATTAGAATTCCACCCAAACCATGTATCGATTGAGTTGATTGGGTTTTTTGAACACCCGTAATAAATATACCTAAATTTTTAATCTTTTGATTTATAATATATATCTTAAAACATAAGTTAAACGTTTGGACTCTTGTGGTAGGGAGACAGTGATGACACTTGTTCTAACCCAACGGACAATATAAGCGTATGCTCGAGCTTCAAGTCACATCTAAAAGAAATATTTTAGAAAACGTGAGCGAAAAAATACGTTAAGCAAAACCCACTAATGGGTTTATGTTGTTTGGGTTTCACGAAAAAAAACCCACAAATTTCTACATTCTCCATCTCCCCGTCATTGTAAGCTCGATGAAGTATATTAGGGCTACCTTCACACCACATTAAACCCAAGTTCTAAGAACTTCTATCCTTAATGCTATGATTAAAATGTAGTAATTCCAGTCTAACCTCGACCCATTCCATTTTTATCGGTAGTAATTACGTGAAACTCATGATTTCTTGAAAGGGGTCGAAACTAATTGCATTGAGATTATATTTCTCGTCTCCTACTGTGTCCAAATCTCCATCCCGCCTTGCCCGCCTCATGTATATCACTTAATAAAGGAATCTACCAAGATTCTTGTTTCATTATCAATGTCTTTCGTGCGTACCAGTCTTCACAAAACTCATTGTCTTCCTTTCCCAATCAACTTCCAGACCCTAACTAGAATTTCCATTGGACATGAACTAGAACTTCCTTTCTTTCTTGTCGACTTTTCGGTCGGGATCGTGACTAGGAAAGAAGCTTCTTCGTCATGACCCTAACTGAGAAATTGATTGGAAAAGAAATGACGTATTTACTAAGTAGGAAAGAAATTGTTTTTTATTCTCAATTTCATTCTCATTCTTTATTCTATTGGACCGACACCCTAGTAAGAATTTTGGTTCGGTATCATGACTCTTAAAGAAACTATGTGATTAAAAGTGAAAAAGAATTTAACGAGTTTCCAATAGTTAACTAAATCATCGAGGTTGTGCCATCGAAGGAAAAGGAAACTAAATCATCAAGTTGGTGCTATCAAATGAAAAACGGACTAAATCGTCGGGTTCGTGTGAAAGACAAGCACCCAAAAAATCTATTAGAATTCGAAGAATGAAAAAGTTTCTTTTAGAGATATAGAAGCATAAAAGAAATTTAATTTAAAAATTGGCTTCATTTATATTTTGGGATTACTATTTTACCCTAACCTTTAATTTTAGCCCATTAAACAAAAACAGATAGAAGATAAAAGAGAAGATTTAAATTGGTCAATGTTAACACAAAGAACGAAATAAATACACTGTAAGAACAGAACACAGAAATAGAATGAAAACATTCAGAAAACATAATAAAATTAAAAATAAATAGGGAGAAGAGCGAGAGAGAAAAGGAAAGATCTTAGGAATATAATAACAAACATATATCTTCATTTATAAAATAATTATCAAATATATTATAAAATTATAGGATCTAATAAATGGGATGATAGTATGCATTGTATGGTTTAGAACTTCAGATAGACTTTACTATTGGCATGATTATGTTTGATATGTGTGAGTTGTTCATGGATCGATATGCTTACGATATGATATGTGTATATTATAATATGTGAATTGTATGATAATACTTATGATATGATGTGTTCAATGATATGTTTGAGATAGGATACAAGAAGGATGCACTAAACGTAATGTAATGATAGGAGTAAGATACGTTCATTAAACGTTAAGGTTAAGTTACGTATCGAAATGCTATAGATATGAGAAATTGATAAAAACGATATGGTCACTATCGATTGATAAAAGAATATGGTTAAGTTATGGGTAGAAAGGGGATAGAATTATGATAAATTGATAGAAACGATAATGTTAGGATACATTCCTGTAATTATATAACTAAAGTATGTTCATGTAACATTATGACTGTGATAGATATAAAAATGATATATATGATTTGAAAAATGTTATGGTACGAGGTATGTGATAATTGACATGTTTATGATATGAAATGGTGAAATTTATTATATCTGGAAGCATGAAATGTTATAATAATGATATAATTATATAATTTGAATTATATGATGAAATTAAAATGCAAAACGACGAACTAGCATGAAATACAACCCCGACGTATGCATGAAAGATATGATAAATGATATGAAAAACGATATGATATGTACGAAACGTTAACGAGATTGTATTAAATGATAATGAAAATGGAAAAAGGTTGGGACCTCAAGCATTGTTGTGTGCGAGCGTTGGAGGATACCCTTTACCCTTTATGATAGTACGGACGGGTATGTTACGAGTGAGAAAAGCTCAATTTCCCCTTTCCCTTTTAACTCTGATGGCCTATAGAGAACAGACCATTAAATTGAAAACAACACAAAAAACTTGGCTAACCATAAACAGCGCATATTACATTATATTTTCTCTAGAAGAAATGGAGAAAAGAAAAGGGTAGATTGTTTACCTATACAAATGGCATGAAACCAAACAAATAATGAACCACAGTCCAACCAACAACGCCCTTCACCTTCCAATCCAAACGTAAAAGCCTTGCCTTTGTGAACTGCCAGAGAAAATTTTGCATGTACATACAAATTTCAAAGTATTCCACCCCCCCGATATATATTATTCTTTGGTCCCATATATAATTGATCTTTGGCAATTTATGTTCGTGAATGATCGAACAATCTTATCCAATGCACTTATTTGTAAGAGAACACTGAAAAATATAACTCGGAAAATCTTGCTGGAGACTTGGTACCTGTAATTTGCCTCTCACTTCCTAGTATACTTCTGCCTTCGATTCGCCTCTGTCGATGGTCTGTTGCAGTTTGATTCCCTATCACGAAAAAAAAAAACTCGTCCATATGCTGTAGAGTCACAATGGCTCATCCAGATTCTGGAGTTAGTATCCTTCATAACTTGAACTTGCATGTATTTTCTTTGATGCCCGTGAACGCTCATTTCTTTTTAGTGGTCAATCAAAATTATGTATCTAGAAGGAACATCAATAATCTGATCTGGAAGCAGCGAAGGAAGAAAGAAGACCTGCAGCTTGTGCAGGTAGAATATCACCAAATGTAGACATCGCAGCTGCTGATCTATCTTTAAATATGCCAACTTGGCCATCGGTCAACATGGACCCAAGTTTTAGGGTGCTCTCTCCAAATCTGCTTCCAACCTGGGAGGCAAATATAAGTACAGTTAGAAACATCGGTATTAGATATAATTCTGATTTTGTTCTATGTAAAATGAAACAAACCGGTTGCTAGCAAGTATACGAACACTCGATTAAACGATAGACTTGGGGGAAAAAGAGATGGAAGAAAATAAGAGGTGAACATCTATGAAGTCACCAGTAATGGAAAGTCCATAACGAGAATACAAACAAATGGCAACCACAACAAATATCTGCAAACTTATGCACAAAAGATAAGAAACCCATATCCAAGGAATTTTACTAACTTGAAGCCCCTTGACATCTCCAGAAAAGGCATAACCAGATTGACAGGCCCAATAAATACCTTGGGGGGGGGGGGGGGGGGGGGG